GCCTCCCAGCAGTTGCTTCCTCGGGTCTGGATTGGCCAGGGTCAGTAGATCCCCGATCCTCCTGGGGGCGGGGCGGCACGGGCGCGGGGCGGGTTGCGCCGCGTTCGGTGGCCCAACGCTTCCGCTGTCACGGGCGCTCACGCGGCCTGGCCCGCCCCCGAGGGTGAGCCCGAGCCGGGCGTCGCAGGTCGCATCTCCTTTGGCGAGGTCTGGGCGCAAGGCCGACCAAAGAACAAACGACACCACCCCACCTACGGCCCTCCACGTTACGCTGCGGCCCACCGGGCGCCGTAGCCTATACCTCGGAGGTGGATCGACCTCCTACCCTGACACGTCGATTAAGGAATCGGCCGTTTTCGGTACGCGAGAGGGCGTCGCAGCCGTCATTTCTGCGGGTTCAGGTCCGTCGGTTTCGGTCCCAGGCCGTTTTCACTAAGGGGAGGTGTGCTCAAGGGAGGTTTGTCCACCGCCGAATACCACGCAAAAGCCCAAGCCAGCATTCATGGTCTGTGGCAAGGCCCGTGGGGCCGCAGGTGGGGCGGCGTCGCTTTTTTCCTGGTCCGCAAGGCCCGGTTTTTCCTTCCAGGGTGGGGGTCTGCGGTAGTGGTTGTCCACAGCGTACTCGGCATCACAAAGATGGAGTTATTCAAGAGGCTTGCGCCCGTGCCGCCGACCCCCAGGAGAGGGAAGGGACGGAGTCCACGGTGGAGGCCTTCTTGGGCCTCTTGGGGCCCTCGGGGGGCGCTCGTTTGGGCGTCTTGGGGCCTCGTTTTGGGCGTCTTGGGAGTTTTTTGGGCACCTGCTGGCGGTCTCGGGGGCCCCCTTGGAGCGGAGGGCTCGGAATGCCAGTTGGTGGTGATCCACAGCTGCATCGGCGGCACAAGCGTATGCTTAGCCTATGTGTGCGTCAGCCCCTCGGCCGCCCTGGTCTTTTCCACCCGCTCTAGCGCCCACAACCGGTATACAGTGGAGTCCCATGCCTCCTCCTCCTCCGCCTCCTCCTCCTCCTCCGCCTCCTCCTCCTCCTCCTCCTCAAACACCCTGCTTGCCGTCAGGGTGCCCTGGGTTTCTTGGGTTGAGCGCGGGACGTTCACGCACCAAGCATGGACGGACGTCCTGGGGTTTCAGGGTTGGGTCTCTTGTGGAAGGTTTCTTGTGTGTTGGCCTCCACTGTGCCCTTCTGCTAGCGACACCGGCGGCCGCGTCCGCTGGGGCCCGCGATTAAAGAAGGGTGCGTCGGTCCCGCAGGGGTCGGGGGCGGCAAAGAGGGGGGTGATGACTAGGGGGGGGTGGATATCATGGCGTGGGCCATGATATTTCCCCAGATTTCATGGCGCCTCTTCTTATTTCAATACGTCCATGGTCCCCCTCCTCTTGGACGCCAACCATGATTTGCACCCCCCCCTCTTGGACGCCCCCCTCTTGGCTGCCCCCGAAGGGGGCGACGCGCGCGCTCTTATACGTCTCTCCGAGTGTGGGCTCTTTGACGGGCGCTCCGCGGCGTCGCCGCTCTGGTAACGATGTGCCAGGAGCTGCTCACGCTGCACGTTCGGGTTCGGCCGTGCGCTTCCGAGGGGGGCGCGCCGTGCGACTCGCGTGTCCTGCTGCGTCCCGCTTGACCCTGGGAAGGATCGGCACCAGGCCGATTCGGGATGTATTGGGATTATGATGGTGATGATGATGATGATGATGATGATGATGATGATGATGATGATGATGATCATGATGATGAGGATGATGAGGATGAGGATGATGAGGATGATGAGGATGATGATGATGCTGATGCTGATTATGATGCTTCTGATGATGATGACGATGATGATGCTGATGATGCAGATGATGCAGATGATGATGATGCTGATGACGATGCTGATGATGCTGCTGCTGATGATAATGCTGCTGCTGATGATGCTGATGATGACGAGTATGCTTATGATGATGCTGATGATGATGATGTTGATGTCGATGATGATGCTGATGCTGATGCTGATGCTGCTGCTGCTGCTGATGATGATGATGATCAAGCTGATGATGATGCTGATGATGATGATGATGTGGATGATGTGGATGATGAGGATGATGATGAGGACGATGATGATGCTGATGATGCTGATGCTGATGATGATGATGATGCCGATGACGATGATGATGATGATGATGATGCTGATGATGATGATGATGATGATGATGCTGATGATGCAGATGATGATGCTGCCTTCGATGATGATGATGCTGCTGCTGCTGATGATGATGATAATGCTGCTGCTGATGATGCTGATGATGACGATTATGCTTATGATGATGCTGATGCTGATGATGATGATGGTGATGTCGATGATGATGCTGATGCTGCTGCTGATGATGATGATGATGATCAAGCTGATGATGCTGATGATGCTGCTGATGATGATGATGAGCATGATGATGATGATGATGATGATGCTGATGCTGATGATGATGATGATGGTGATGATGATGATGACGATGATGATGATGACGATGATGATGCTGATGATGATGATGATGATGATGATGATGATGATGCTGCTGCTGATGATGATGATGTTGATGATGGTGATGATGGTGGCGGTGGTGGTGATGGTGATGCTACTGATGGTGGTAATGCTGCTGCTGATGATGACGATGCGTATGATGATGACGATGCCGATGATGACGATGATGATGATGATGATGATGATGATGATGATGATGATGATGATGCTGATGAGGATGATGATGATGCTGCTGCTGATGATGATGATGCTGATGATGACGATGCTGATGATGATGATGATGATGATGCTGATGCTGATGCTGTTGTTGATGATGATGATGATGCTGATGATGATGATGCTGATGCTGATGCTGATGCTGATGATGATGATGATGATGCTGATGATGATGATGATGCTGATGATGATGATGATGATGATGATGATGACGATGACGATGACGCTGACGCTGATGCTGATGCTGATGATGGTGATGGTGGTGGTGGTGGTGGTGGTGGTGATGATGATGATGATGCTGATGCTGATGATGATGATGATGATGATGATGATGATGATGATGATGATGATGATGATGATGAGATGATGATGATGATGATGATGGATGTTTGATGATGATATGATGATTGATGATGATGATGATGATGATGATGATGATGATGATGATGATGATGATGACATGATATGATGATTGATGATGATGATGATGTGATGATGTGATGATGGATGATGACATGATGATCATGTGATGATGATGATGATGATGATGATGATGCTGATGCGGATGCTGATGCTGATGCTGACGATGATGATGATGATGATGCTGATGTGCTGATATGATGATGATGATGATGAGATGATGATGCTGATGCTGCTGATGATGATGATAGATGATGATGATGATGATGATGATGATGATGATGATGATATGAGGATGATGATGATGATGATGCTGATGATGATGATGATGATGATGATGATGATTATGATGATGATGATGATGATGATGATGATGATGATGATGATGATGATGATGATGGTGGTGGTGGCGGTGGTGGTGATGGTGATGTTGTTGTTGGCGACGGCGACGAGGAGGAGGAGAAGGAGGAGGAGGAGGAGGAGGAGGAGGAGGAGGCGGAAGAGGAGTAGGAGGATGGGAGCAAGATGAGCAGCACCATGATGAAGCGGAGGAGCAAGAGGACGAACCAGAGGAGGAGGAGCAACAGCAGGAGGAGGAGGAAGAGTAGGAGGAGGAAGAGGGAGGAGGAGGAGGAGGAGGAGGAGGAGGAGGAGGAGGAGGAGGAGGAGGAGGAGGTGGAGAGGAGGAGGAGGAGTGGAGGAGGAGGAGGAGAGGAGGAGGAGAGGAGGAGGATGAGGAGGAGGAGAGGAGGGAGGAGGAGGAGGAGGAGGAGGAGGAGGATGAGGAGGAGGAGGAGGAGGAGAGGAGGAGAAGGAGGAAGGAGGAGGAGGAGGAGGAGGAGGAGGAGGAGGAGGAGGAGGAGGAGGAGGAGGAGGAGGGCAGGAGGAGAGGGAGGAGGAGGAGGAGGAGGAGGAGGAGGAGGAGGAGGAGGATATTGAGGATGACGATGAGGATGAGGAGGAGGAGGAGGAGGAGGATTGGAGGTGGCTGTGGACCAGGATGACAGGGTACTGTTGCTGCACGTTTCTGCGGTTGAGGGTGGCCTTGATGTGGCCTGGGCCTGGGCCCCAAGCGGGCTTGCTCTCTGGCTGACCTGCACTGGAGTGGCCGTGGTTTGCGGCTGCTTGCTGTCTTAACAAGACTTCTCGCGACGTGCAGCAATCTGGACAACAGTAGCGTAGCGCGGCTCAAGGAAAACAGTGCCTGCATACTGGCAGCGGGAAGCAACGCATGTCAACGACGGCGATGCCGCGCGAGCAGAAAACGCAGTCGGAGTACTTTGCGGCCGATGAGCGATGCGACCAGGAGCCATGATCGGAACCGCGGCGGTACGAGAAGAAACAGGGAACAGTTGAACACGACAGTTCATATGTTCCTGAGAAGTTAGAATCAGCATCAGCGCTGGTATACATGTGGTCGAAAACTGGCTCAACCTGGCACATTCCTGCTCCATTCCGCTGAATCCCGCCGAATTCGGCCCAACTCGGTTTAGTCCTGGGCCTAATCTGGGCCAATCCAGCTTCATGGCCTATACTCGGGCTTACTCGCCCTTCGTTGTTCTCACGAAGGCATCCCATCAGGTATTCAGAGTTTCATGCAGTAAATGGGGGGGGGGTCTGGTTTGAGCTGTCTTGAAGGGTTTCGGGGGGTTTGGGCAACAGCCGCCGATGCATGGCTGGTCTGGGCGGGGGGGGGGGTTAAACTTGCTTGCTTGGGAGGGCTGTGATCCCCCCCCTGTATTGTGAAATCTGGAGTGCCTTCCAAGTTCTAACGGTCTAACGGCCCAACCTCCGCACAGCAAGGAACGGGTGTGCTGCAGCCAGGTAAGCGGAGAGGGAGGGCCGCTGCAGGTGCCCAGAACCTGGTGGCGTGCGGAGGGTCAGGAGTTCAAGGAGGACTTGGACGTCGCTGTCACGGCGATGGACTTGACAGTCCTCGCAGGGTGCCTCATAAAGGACAGGGCGCCGCGCGCCGCGCGGGCACGGCAGGCGATGCATCGACGATGCGTCTGTCTTGGCGCGAAACACGGTGCTACACCTCCCTCCCAGGGGCTGTGCAAATCAAAGTGCTTGCGGTTCGACATCCAACTAGCGTTGTCGATGGGACCCGAGGCGGAGCGGAGTGATGCAGTACACATGCAATGGGGGAATTGTAGCATAGATCCCGAGACCACCCACCCTGCCGGCTTGGCCTGGGGTGGCCAAGGATCGTTGGGTGCTGCATGTCTGGTGGAGGAACCAGGAGGAGGGAGGAGGCCAGTAGGCCTCCCGCGGCGCTCCTTCGTCGCCAGGGAGAGGGTTCCACAGCTTCAGAAGTGATCGGAAGGGGACCCCACAGCGCTCATTTGACCTCGCCGCTTCAGGGGGGACGGCGCAGGCAGGGCTGAGCAGCGCCGAAACAGGATGATGATGACGATGATGGCGATGATTATGATGATGATGATGATGATGATGATGATGATGATGATGATGATGATGATGATGATGATGATGATGATGCTGATGCTGATGCTGATGCTGATGCTGATGCTGATGCTGATGCTGATGCTGATGCTGATGCTGATGATGCTGATGCTGATGCTGATGCTGATGCTGATGCTGATGCTGATGCTGATGCTGATGCTGATGCTGCTGATGAGGAGGAGGAGGAAGAGGAGGAGCCAGTGTAAACCCAATATTCACCAGCGATGTTGCAATAGCCCCTCCCTCCAAGTTCTTTCCTCATAGTTAGGTGCCTACAAGGGGTAATTCTCACTGAGGGAAGTGCCCCGTCGGAAGACACCCGTCTGAATATTTTAAATCGTGCCAGAATCTTATTCTTTAGATTTCAACACCGTGGATCAACTCTATTGTTGCGTCTTGACGATTCTGAGTCTTACCAGAATGCCATTCCTGGGATTTCAACGCCGCGAATCCACGTATCTGTTGCGTCCTGATCATCCTACACCGTGCCAGAACGCCACTCTTGGGATGCCAGCCATCAGATTTTTTTGTGCGCAGCGCTAAGGCGAGAGACACATTTAGAAAAGGAACCTCCTTTTATCAGTGAAATTCTTGCGCACTTTTAAGACGAATGTGCGCGGCGCTTCGGCGAGACCCACATTTTGAATACGACCCATCCTCCATCCGTGAAATTCCTGCACACTTTTAACGACTACATTTTGAAAACGAGCCGCCCTCCATTCGTGTAATTTTTGCACATCTTCAGCCCAAGGATCATACGGTGTGAGGAAGTCTCAGGCGAAACGCCCGGCCCGCCCTACCGACACGTCTCGGGGTGCGACATGGAGGAGGCATTTATTCAAGACGCTTCGCGTTCACTGCCCGCCAATTCCAGTTCTTGCTGGAAGAGACGACGACGGCGCCAAGACGGGATGGCAGCATTCCGAAAATTGTGAAAGACCCGCAGGGGCCTAATGGGTTCCCTGAAAAGGGCCCAACATGGACCCAAGAAGGGCCGGAGGCTGCCCAGGCGGGCCTCTGGGCGGCTCAAGCGCGAGCATCCCCTTAGTGGGCCCGAGACCCTTTCGCATTTGCGTCGAAACCAGGACCAGATCTGGGTCGATTTTGGCTTCGTTTTGGGGCCTCAATTGGGTTCAGAATCGGCTGAGATTGATACCGAAAAAGGCCAAAGCCGTAGATGAAGTGTGCATTTTTGGAAATGGCCCAGACGAGGAAGAAGCGTCCGGGCGACCCCCATCGAGGCGAAAATCATGAAGCATTCATGGGTTTTGCAATGTATTCGAAGTTCCCAGTTCGCACGCGCAGGTTGGGCCCCAGAGGCGCTCTGGAGGGCCCTGTAGGAGCTGGCCGTGGAGGCACAGAAGGGGCCCAGAAGGGGCCGAAGTGGAGCCAAAATGCGCCCCGAAAGAGTCGCCGGAAGGCAGGGCTGAACCTGAACGGTGTTTTTCGTTTACGTTTTGTTTTCGTTTTCCCTCGTTTTGTCTTCAATCCACCTTTAACGCAAAACGCGTTCGAAACGAAAACGGCCCACGAAATCGCCAAAACACCGTTTAGGTCCACCCCTGCCGGAAGGATTTGAAAGTAGGCCTCGTTTTGGAAGCCGTCTCGGAGCCGTCTTGAGGCTCGAAAAGGGTCGATGGCGTAGCCGGGCGGCGGAATTGCGGAGGCCTCTGGGCTGGTAAAAGGGTTGGGCCAAAGCCCTGTAGGGAGCTCTCACTGTTAAGTCCCACGTCCCTCAGCTAGGTGGGCGGACGGATTCAAGAGGCTTAGACCATTCCGCCGACCCCCAGAAGAGCGATGAAGTGAGCGGGTGAGACCTTTTGGGGCCTCTTGGGGACCCTTTGGGGGCCTCTTTTGGGCCTCTTCGGGCCTCTTGGGAGTTTCTTGGGCGCCTGCTGGCGGTCTCGGGGGTCCTCTTGGGGCGGAGGGCTCGGAATGTCAGTTTGATTTACCTCTCTTGGGTCCCTCTTGGGGCCCAGTTGGGGCTCTCCTTGGCCATATTGGGCGCCTCTTGGGCCGTATTGGCACCCGGGGCCCTCTTGGGGGCTGCTTGGGCCGTGTTGTAGCGATCACGGGGGCTTCTTGAGCTGTTTTGGACGCTGTTGAGACCAAAGGTGCGAATCTGTTCATATTATACGTTTTTTCCCCAGGGATTTGCACGATTCTTGCTTCTTGGGGCTCTCGCGGTCGTCTTGGAGCCCACTTGGGGCGTCTTTGAGGCCTTTTGGGCAGTCTGGTAGGACTCCTGTGCGTGTTGGAACCCCGCTTGAGCAAGCGTAGATCGATTCTTAGGTATCTTGGAGGCCACAGAGTATAGAAATGGAGGCTCCAGAGGCCCCGAGGGAGCTCTGATGAGCTCGGAGACCCCCTCCCGCCCCCCCCCCCCCCAGTCGGATTTCAGACCCCAGGGGAGGGGGACAAGGGGAGGGGGACAGCCGATCATCTCGCACGCCTGTGCACACCTGGCAAGCAAGGGTCGGCTGATAAGGAAAAGAGATGGATTAGGAGGAGCGAGGAGTGAGCAGCGAGGAGCGAGGAGCGAGGAGCGAAGAGCGAGTAGCGTGGAGAGAGGAGTGAGGAATGAGGAGCGAGGAGCGAGGAACGAGGAGCGATGAGCAAGGAGCGAGGAGCGAGGAGCGAGTAGGAGGAGCACGAGGAGGAGGAAGAGGTGGAGGATGAGGATGAGGATGAGGATGAGGATGAGGATGATGATGATGATGATGATGATGATGATGATGATGATGATGATGATGATGATGATGATGATGATGATGATGATGATGATGATGATGATGATGATGCTGATGATGCTGATGATGATGATGATGATGAGGATGAGGATGATGAGGATGAGGAGGGGGAGGAGGAGGATGAGGATGCTAATGAGGATGAGGATTATGATGCTGATGATGATAATGATGCTGCTGATGATGATGACGATGACGATGATTCTGATGCTGATGCTGCTGCTGATGATGATATTATGATGATGGATGATGGTGATGATGATGATGATGATGATGATGATGATGATGATGATGATGATGATGACGATGACGACGACGACGATGACGATGATGATGATGATGATGATGATGATGATGATGATGATGCTGATGATGATGATGATGATGATGATGATGATGATGATGATGATGATGATGATGATGATGATGATGATGATGATGATGATGATGATGATGATGATGATGATGATGATGATGATGATGATGATGATGATGATGATGATGATGATGATGATGATGATGATGATGATGATGATGATGATGATGATGATGATGATGATGATGATGACGATGACGATGACGATCACGATGACGACGACAACGATGACGATGACGATGACGACGACGATGGAGATGACGACGACGACGACGACGACGACGACGACGACGAGAAGGAGGAGGAGGAGGAGGAGGAGGAGGAGGAGGAGGAGGAGGAGGAGGAGGAGGCCCGAGCGTCTGGAGTCGAGGCATTTCCGACCCTGGCAGCCCGGCCGGGCCCTCCTTCTTCGCTCACTCCCCTCAGCAAGCCGCTGTTTGAGGGGCTGTGGACAAACAACAGTGTTTCTGGTTCCCTCTCTTCTTCCTTCCCCCCCTTCGGTGCCATGGCATGGACCGCCGTCCAGCGCCGCCGTGGCCGTGGGCGAGGGGACGCCGCGCTGGCCGCCGAGGTCCTGCGCAACCTCTTCGGCGGCAAGCCGGCCGCTGGGGCTGCAGACGGCCGCGGCGGAGGCCCGCGGAAGGCGGAGTGGCGATGCCTCTGCGGCACCACCAACTTTGCCGACCAGCCGCGCTGCCGCAGGTGCGCCGGGGCACGCGGCGGCGCGCCCGCGACCTGCCCGCCGCCGCCTGCCCGCGCCGCCGGAGCAGCCGCTGGAGCCGCAGCCGCTGCTGGGGCCAACGCCGCGGCCAGGCCCGCCGCTTGGCCAGCCCTCCCAGCAGCACGGGGGGCACAGCCGCGCCCAGGGGCCCAAACGGACGCTTTCCGGAAGGCTGCGGCCGCGGCACGCAAAGCGGGCGCGCCCCCAGAGGCCCTGGCGCCGCTGGAAATGGAAAGGGCATGCTGCCCGCGAGCGCCAGGCGCAGATTTGGGCAGGGAGCCGCCTCGAGGCAACGAGGGCGACCGCCGCGCGCGCGGCCGCCGGGGTCGCTGCTGCCGAGGACGCGGTGGCGCTAGAGGCCGCGCGGGCGCAGGCAGAAGAATCCGAGGCGGCATTCCGCCTCGCAGAGGCGGCGCAGCAGGAACCGCCAGCGCAGGAAACGGTTGCGCAACCTGCCGGGCTGGCGCGGGCCACGCGCGAACCGCTGGAGCGGCTCGAGAACGGGGCGCGCGCCTGGGCAGGCGCGCCAGAACTGCTGCTAGCGGCGACGGCCGCGGCGCGCGCCGCCCTGGCCGCAGCGGGGCCGGCCGCCGAACCCCGCCCAGCACCTCGAGGGGAGGGCGACTCGGACGCCGACTTGCTGAGCGAAGGGCCAGGAGCGAGGAGGCGCTGGGCCGACCTTCGAGCCGAGGAGGCCGAAGGGGACGCCTTGTTGGAGGAGCTGGACCGTACAGACGCAGGCGACAGGGCGCTCCTCGAGGCGGCTCGCCGCCTGCGCAGCGCCCGCGGGGAGGCAGCTGCAGCCGCCGGGCCAGCGCAGCCTGCGCAGCCGCCCCGCCGAGACCGCAGCCGCGCCCCAGACCGCTGAAGCGGTTATGCGGCTACGCTGGCGTGCGCGTCGGCGAGGCCAGCAACCCAGGGCCAGCCTCGGGGGCGCCGCTGGCCTGCCCTGGCTGCGGGTGCCCACGCCGCGCCTCGCGCGCGCTCCCTGGAGAAGCCCGCGCTGCCTGCGGCGAGGGGGCCAGGGGCGGCTCGCTTCAGCACTGCGAGGCCTGCGAGGCGCTGCTCTGCCGAGGCTGCGCAACTGCCGCGGCGGCCGCCGCCGCGCCGCCGGGCGCCGAGCCTGCGCCGGTCGCCGGCGCCAGTGCCGCCCTTGCGGCTGGTGCCCAAGACCCGCCTGGAGCTGGCGGAGCGCCTGGGCAGGCAGCGCCAGCCGCGCGCGGAGTTTCTGCGGCAGCGGCTTCGCCTCTCGCCGAAACGCAGCAGCCGCCGCCGCCGCCGCTCCACGACCTGGAGGCGGCTTGCTGGAGCGGGCTTGACGACTTGGACTTGCTGGGCGAGCTGGCGGCAGACTGCCCTGCGCTCCGCTTCGTGCCCGGCGGGGCGCGGGCAGCGGCGGCGCAGGCCGCGGGGGCCGTCTGTAAGGCGGTGCTCCGCGCGCCGCGCGGCAGCTTGGCGGGGGGCCGCGCCTGGAAGCTGCTGCTGCTCCGCGAGAGGCCCCTCTTCTCGGCGCCGCTGAAACGCGGCGCGTGCGGCGCCAAGCCGGGGGCGAGCCAGCTTTGCGGGCGCGAGCCAGCTTTGCGGGCCGGGCTGCTCCGCCAAAGGTGTTCGCAGCTCCGCAGAAGCGAGTGGAGGAACCCCGCTGGGGGAGGCGCGACGGGCCGCTCGGAGCTTGGCGCGCGCGCGCGCGCAAGGGGGCAAGCAGAGAGCAAAAAGACGCCGACGAACACCTTGCGACGCGGTGGTCCAGAAAGCGCTGGCCAAGGAGTACTCCCGGGCGGCCGCGCTCCTGGCGAGCCCGGGGCTCGCGCCTCCTACGCTGGAGACGGCGGCCGCGCTCCGAGAAATGCTCGAGCCGGGCGGGGCGCCTGCCCTCGAGCCTGGGGCGCGCGGCGAGCTGGCCGCTGCTTCGCTTCTTTCAGCCAGGAACTAGAGCCCGAAGGGGAGTGGGGCAGCGGTGGGGGGAGACCGTTTCGAGCACTGGCGGGTGCTGCTGTCGGTGCCGACCGCCCTCGAAGCCTTCTGCGACCTCTGCGACCGGTTGGCCGCTGGGGGCCCTCCAGCGAGCGCCGCGAACGCCCTCGCCCTCTCCCGTGTAACGCCGCTCAACAAGCCAGGCGGCGGGGTGCGCCCAATCGCCGCGCCTAACATCCTCCACCGGCTGGCGGGGAAGGCGTTGGTGACGCCGCGGAAGGAGGAGCTCGCGGCAGCGCTCGGCCGGCGCCAATTTGCAATTGGCACCAAGGCAGGCACCGAGCTGCTGGCTCACGCGGTGCGGGCGCTCACCGAGGCCAGCCCAGACCTGGTCCTCGCGGCGCTGGGCGAGAAGACGCCTGCGGGGCCGCGCGCCGAGAGGCTTGCCTGGCCGAGCTAGAGGAGGCGGCGCCAGAGCTCCTCCCTTTTGCGAACCTCTTCTGCCAGCGCCGCTCCCAGTATAATTTTTGGGACTCGGGGGGGGGGCTGCCGCCGCCTGGGCTTTGCGGACGGCGTTGACCAGGGGGGCCCGCTGGCGCCCCTCCTCTTCGCCTGCGGCCTCCGCTCCCCCTTGCGCGCTGGAAGACGCGCTGAGGGCTTGGGCGACCGCCTGCGGCCTGCGGGCAGACGACGTCTGGGTGCTGGCGTACCTGGGCGACGTCGTCATGCTTGCCCCCCCCGCCCCTGGCGAGCGAGGTGGAGGCAGCCGCGGAGGCCGCGCTGGGGCGCCTGGGGCTCGAGCTGCAACGACGAAAAACGCAAGCTTGGTCTGCCCGCTCGCCTTGCCCGCCAGGACTGGAAGAGCGCTGGCACGCCGACGGCGTGGCGCTTCTGGGCGCCCCGCCGGGGGGGCCGCTGCTGCCGGGCAACCTCCCCGACGAGAGCGACGGGCGCCGGCTGGGCTTGGGCAGCGCCGCCTACGCCGCGGCGCGCTGCTCGGGGGCGGCCGACAGAGCGGCTGCGCTGCTGCAGAAGCTCGCCTAGCCGACGCTGGCCTCGCCGCGCCTCCCAGCGACCCGAGCGGCTGGGCCCCTCCTCCGGCGCTGCGGCACGGGCAAGCTGACGCACTTGCTCCGCGCCAGCCCGCCAGCGCACGGCCGGGCCGCCGCGGCCGCCTACGACGACGCGCTGCTGGAGGCCTACCAGGGGCTGGCGCGGCTCGACCCGCTGACGCCTGAGCAGCGCGCGCGCTGCCGCCTGCCGCTCCGGCTGGGCGGCCGGGGCTTCGGAGCCAAGAGGAGTTGGCGCCTGCGGCTTGGGCTGCTTCTTGGGCGCAGAGCCTCGCTGGCGCCCGGGAGCGCACTGGGCTGGCGGATCTGGGCGACCTGGGGGCCGCCGCGCTGCCTCTCGCCGAGCCGAAGCCTGCCGGGGGGCGCTGGCAGCGCTGCCCCCGGGCCAGGGGGGCGGGCCCCTGCTGGGCTGGCGGCAGCTCGCCCACGGGCCCCAGGAAAAGCTCCACAGGAGACTCACGAACAGCTGGATTCAAATTATCCCGGCTTGCAATCATCTAGCGCGGCACAGAGCCGGCTCGGCCACGCCTGCGCTTCGGCGTCCTCGCCGGCACCCATGCGCACTGTGCTGGGGGGTCGTCTTGGGCCAAAGCTTGATATCGCGGCTCCGCTGCTGGCAGGGCGCAGGATGCGCACTCGAGTGCGGCGACCCCGAATTCCCCAGGGTGCGGGTTGGCGCTCGTGGATGTGGTGCCTCCTCCTCCACCTCCTCCTCCTCCTCCTCCTCCTTCTCCTCCTCCTCCTCTTCCTCCTCCTCCTCCACCTCCCCCCCTCCCCCTCCTCCTCCTCTTCCTCCCCCTCCTCCCCTCTTTCCTCCTCCTCCTCCTCCTCCTCCTCCTCCTCCCCCCCCCCCTCCTTCTCCTCCTCCGTGGCCAATTTGGTTCGGGCCATTTTGGATCGAGCCATTTTGGCTCAAGTAATACATTTCTCGAGGCAGCTGGCCGGGTCAGCATCCCGGGGGCCCCGCAGGTGCTTCGGTGCAGAGGCCCCCCCGTCCTTTGTCTCACTGCGCAGGCATTCTGCCACTGTGTATCGAACCTGGCCCAGAGCTCTTTCTGCATGCGTCCTGGGGATCACGCGCGCAAATGGGCGCGAGGCAACTGGGGCTGCCGCGGCAGGAGTCCGAGGCACCGTCAGAAACACAGACCATCGTGGGCGCGGTGCAAGTGAGAGTGCCTCTCGTTCTGCAAGACCCAAGAATCGCTCATGCTCGGGTTCAGCATCGCATCATTCTCGATCGGACTCCAGCAGATCGTCGCGCATCGTGTGATCTTCTTCCTTGACCCAGAGATCCCGTTCCTCGTGTCGAGGGGGCTCCCCAGATAATGGTAGCCAAAAGGCCAGCGGCTGGGCTAGGATTCCGCCCCCACCTCCGCCGGCTGAGCCCCCGTCGTGGACGTCGGGGCTGATCGCTGAGATTCGGGCGAACGACAGCAAGATCTCGGCCATGGAGAATGCGATGAAGAATATACTGGACAATTTGAAGGCCAGCCTCTCAGTGCATGATGCGAATGTCACCTCCCTCAACATGCGCGTGATAGAACTAGATAAGGTTTCGAAATGTGGGGGTCACCGAAGCGGTCGCTGCAGCGGTGGATGCCAAGATGCAAGGGATTCAGAGTTATGTTGACGCGCTCCAATCGCGCACTGCGGCTTCGGTTGCGCCTTCGACGGGGGCATCTCCGCGAAGCGGCGGCTCGTCCATCGTCGGCGACCGCCTTCCTGCCCAGGAATGAAACCCTCTGGTGCGTTTTGTCGGCGCGTTCCCTCGCCCCGTCGCGGGTGCCCGTTGGGCGACGCTGTGCCCTACTTCCATGTCGCCAGCCAGAACTACAAGATCATCTGCAAGACGGCTGTGGCGGCCAAGCTCTTCCAGACCACGGTCGACCCAGACGGTCTCCCCTGGGCGGATCGAAGAGATCGCAAAGTCAATCTTCTGCGTATTCGTGCTGATCTGCCTGTCGACGCTCGCACTAAGAATCGGTGAGTGAGTGAGATATACAAGCCGCTCAAGGATCTTTTTTTTGCGCCAGCGACAAGTGGGCGCATTGGCGTCGGCGGCTTCAAGGGCACTGTTCAGCTGATCTCCAACGAAGACGCGCGAGTCCTCATCGATTTGTTTGTGATCACCCGCGTGGGAGGGGTTGTCCATGACTTCCAGCCCAACGCCGCCAACCTCGAGCACTTTGGTATCTCTGCCGAGCAGCTCAACGCCATCGTCGAGCAAGCGGCTGCAGCGGCTGCTTGACGGCCCCTTCTACGGCATCATCGTGATGGTGAGTCTTGCGGTCGACTTACTGCTGCGGGGCCAGATGCCTTTGGCGCCGCGGCTCGTGGGCGCGGCGGGCATCGAGGACTGCCAGCTCATCATCTGGGCCCCTTTTCAGCTGCAAGCTGGGGGCGCCCCGCCTGTTGCCGCTTCCCTGTTTTCTTTCCCCAAGAGGGTGCCGAGCAGTTTTTTGTCTAGCAGTCCTTCTTCCCCTCCATCTGCCCCTGCCTCTGCCTCTGCGCCATTTCCAATCTCCGCCAAGTTGAGCATCGTGAGCTGGCGTTGTCAAACTATCCTGGGGTCTGTCTTCTCTCTGATCAATCGGTTCCTCGTGAGAAATACTCTCGGCTTTGTAGGCTACCATCTCGTCGCCAGATTGTCGGCTTGCACGAAACACGCGGTAATGAAGTGGACTTCGATCAGCTACGGGGAGACCTCAAGATCCATCAGGTTTATGACACTTTCTGCGATGCGAGTTCTGCTGGCTGCACCACCTTGTTCATCCACCACTCCTATCCTTTCCCTCTTCCCGAGGGTTGTTGAAATTGCTGTGTTCGAGGGCCGCGACCTCTGCCTCTCGCTCTTCTCCGACGCCTCGTCCCTCCAGCTTGTCAATATGCATGTCGTTCCTGATTGGTGTGAAGGGCTTGCTCGCAATATGTTCGAACGTGTCCGTCGTGTGTTTCTGCTCCCTCGCAATCTCTTGGCTTTGTCTTCGGTGATGACAATGTCCTTGCTTATGGTGAATCTCGATGTATCTGGACAGAGGCGCTGAAGGGCCGACGACCAATCGGCTGGCCAGCGCGTTCTCCACTGCCCTCGCCTTGCTGGCTGAAGTTGTGCAAGATCAAGGCGCGCGCATAATGATGCGTGTTGGTGGGTTATCCTTTGCGCGGCTGGATCGTATCCATACGACGATGATCACCCAGGACATGCTTGATCATTGCCCCCGTTCAGGCACCTCTTGGGCCATTGCTGACCTGCGGGTGCATCTTAGCCTGGCTACATGGGCTTCTATTGGCCTTCAGGGGATGCCCGCTTGGATTGCCCAACATCCCCACTTTGTTGAGGTCATCGATCAGACGCTTGATATAGATGGCTTATCCGACGACATTCTCAATCGGGTGGAGGAGGTCAGGCAGGTTCTAAGGTATGCGGCCCAAGAGGTGCGCGAATTCATGTCGGACAAGGGTGCTAAAACTTATGAGGAGAAGGTTTCGTGTTTTCTTTTGGTCCTTCTTGGCGACAGATGCGGCGACACTCAAAAAGCTCGTCGTGGGGTCCGTGGCTTCCCTAAACTCAGGGACTCTTTCGATCCCCATATGTGTGTTTGGACTGACCGCTCAGGATTTGACTCTCTGCTAGGAGACTTTACGCGTCGCATTCTGTGTTCCAGTGAGCGTGCTGGACAGGCCGCGCAAGAATATTCTGGTTCTGCGGATGCTCGCTCTGCTGAGAATGTTGCAAGAGTTCGTCGACTCAGTCGAGCGTGGCGCGCATCCAGTCGGCAAGTCTGTCTCCGGGCTGTCGCAGATGTGGATGCCCACGCGCGCGAAGATGCCGACGCCTGGGCAGGGCTTCTCTCTGCCATTGGCAAGCGATCTTCAAGGCTGGCGTGGCTGACCAAGATGAGATTGACAAGCTTGCTTCTTTGCTCTCTCCTATTCCTGCTGATGATCACCAATGTCATGCTAGTGGCGGATGCATGTATCCCTGGGTTATTACTGAGGATTGGTTTTACACTATCCTGGAGAAAAGATGGACACGACCCCTGGGCCCGATGGTGGCCCGCATTCCGCCTGGCGTGCTTCTGGAAATATCGGTTAAAACATATCGTTCGACCTTGACCTCCACCTCGTGCAGCAGGGCGCGCTCCCCGCCGAGTTCAACGACTGCGCGGCCATGTTTTTGCCGAAAAGTTCGGCGCCTGATGGATGCGTCGTTGCGCGCCGGCCTGCGTCGACGCGCCCGCTAGCCCATTCGAATTGCGACAACGAGCTGATCAGCTTGGATATTGCTGTGCCCGTGGGCACGGTGGCGGAGGATAAGGGGGGCAAGGCCCAGAAGGGCTGTATTGAGGACAGGCGAGTGTTAGACGACATATTGGAGGTCGACGCTAAGTTAAGTATTTGGTCTTCGATGTATGGTTGTAAGAATGCTGGCTCAGCGTTGCTTGATCTGGAAGCTGCTTTCCCTTCGATCCATCGCTCATTTATCTGGGATTGTTTGTGGGCGCTCGGTGCCCTCTCCTTCGTCATTGCCGCCGTTCATGCCCTCTACCAAGATTGTGCGATGCACATTGTTTTTGCTGGTTCTAGTGGACGCCTCATACTTGTCGAGCGGGGGGTATGGCAAGGGTGCCCGCTTAGTGTAATTATTTTCAGTGTCTGCTTTGATCCTGTGGCTCGTCGTCTCCAGGAGCTTGCGTAACGTGCGCCGCTAGTATTGGATGCTTTCGCCGACGATCTCAGCGTGGCGAGCTCGGGTCTGATCTGCATCCTGCCGCAACTTTTACGTTCCCTGTGTGATGCTGGTCTCTGGTCTGGGCTCATCCTCAACTTCTCCAGATGCCAGCTTGTCTTCCCTCACTTTGACACCTTCCTTACTGCTGTGGAGCTTTGCAAAACAGGGGGTCAGAGTTCGCAACTTGCGAATTCTGACCTTAGTTCATTGTTGCCCAGAATGGCTGGTATCTAGGAGTCGGCGTCGGCATCGGTGCCTGCGAAAGGAGTTGGATGCCAGTGCTGATTCACTTGAAAGAACGCAGACTACGTGTCAAAAGTCTCAGGCAAGGGTTATCTATCAGTGGTCAAGCTTATCTACTTATGCCCTGCCTGTTGTTGGCCATTGTGCGCAGGTCCACCCTCTTCCTCCTCATGCTCGGAACGTCGAGAAGGATTCCCTCCAGCTCCTCACCTGTTGCCCTCGTCGCGCCTTTCCCCCGGCCAGTATGCGCCTGCTGTGTGATTTGGGTCTGGGGCTGAGTGCCCGCAGACTGGAGATCCATGCTCGTGCCTGTCTCCTCCGCGCTGCCACCAAGAGCGAGGCTTTCCTGCTTTGCGACAGGAAGATGCAAGAGCTGAGCGAAACCGATCACGTCTGTATTCTATGGAGAACCAACCCTATGGCTAGGCATTCGATATTGGATAATATGCGCAATGACTATCATTCTTTTTTACAGTATTCGGAGTCTTCCCGATATTCCTGGGCGTATTGTGCAGAGGTGGATTTCTCAGACCCTTGCCAATTGCTACCCGCCCCTCTTGTTCTTCTATTTTTCTTCCTAGGGTAAAACAATGGTTTCCTGGTGTTCCCTTAGCCGCTGCGGATCTCATTGTATTGCGTTTGAACATCATTAGTCAGTCCCTGCCTGCCTACATATGTACCGCTCTTCTTAAGAGCCTCTTCGACGGGTGGAATACTACCAAACGCAATCGGTGTGGAGCTGCCTCTTGTAAAATGGGCTGCCAATCTGTTGGCGGGGCTGATTTGCTACACGATGTTTCGTGTCCTGTCGCCATCGTTTCCCTCTGACATCATATCCGACTTCTGCCTGAAAAATATGGTTTTGAGCCCCTCGCCTCCTCTCTCCCTCATCTCCTCCCTGCTGATAAGGATCGCATGCTTTGTGTTGCCATCGTTTTCGACGCCCTCCGTTGTACATCCTCCGTCTCCCGCACTCATAGCCTGCTTGGTGTCCGACTGCGGACAGCGGCGCGCCGCTCCAAGAGGGCGGCTTTCGTGCTCCGAGGCGCGCCCCCCGCCGCTGTTGTGCCGCCGCCGCCTTCTTAGCAACGGCTCCTGGGATGGGATCACCCAGGCAGTGTGTTGGGTCGGGTCGGCCACTGCACTGCCTTCCTCTTCGGTCGGTGCTCCTCCTCCTCCTCCTCTCCCCCCCCTCCTCCTCCTCCTCCACCTCCTCCTCCACCTCCTTCTCCCCATGTTCCTCCTCCTCCTCCTCCTCCTCCTCCTCTTCCTCCCCTTCCTCCCCCTCTTCCTCCTTCTCCTCATCCTCCTCCACGTCTTCGTCCTCCCCCTCCTCCTCCTCCTCTCCTCCTCCTCCTCCTCCTCCTCCGTCCTTCTCCTCCCCCTCCTCCTCGTCCTCCTCCTCCTCCTCCTCCTCCTCCTCCGTCCTTCTCGACCGTGCTGGAGCACGGTGCGCACGGTGTGGTCACCGCGCCGTCTCGAGGCCCCCGAGCCCGCCGCCGTCCCGAGGACTGCAATGCGGAGGAGGACGCCGTGCTCCCGGCCGTCGCGGGCCCGTCGCCCGCGGCGGCGCGGCCGCTCCGGCCGAGCCCCAGGCGGGCGCCGGGCGGGCGGAGGGCCGGCCGCCCCTCACGCACTGCTCCTGCTGTCTGTGGCGGCGATGAATCCTGATGCAGTCCACCCGCACAGTAAGGTGAAATCGCGCCTGTCCCTCTACGGGAGGAAGATTCAGATCCAGTCCAAACATAGTCAGGGGACGATGTTTCGATTATTTTTTGTTTATGTGAAGATGTTTTTGGGTATCTATCATTTTCACCCCACATCCGCCTGTAGGGGGACATGCCGGACCTGACCCTGCTGGAGTCAATCCGCACAGGAAGGGTGGGCAGCATTCCCAAGTGTACCCGTTCATCCTTGCCTCCTCGGCCCATCCTCGGCGGCTTTCGCTGGCCGGTCTCGCTCGAAGAGCGTTCACAGGGCCTTCCAAGGCCCCTGCGTCCTCACCGCCCATCATCATACTGTGGGTTGAGTGTAAAGCATCCCCCCTTCCCTTTGTATCTCTTTACCCACGGGATTGAGTGTGGTTCAATTGAAGCAGCAGGCGGGGAGGCCGAATTTTATTATCCCCTCCCACGTTTCTACCGTAGCTCTGCTGTTGAGGACGTCTCAGGCGAAACGCGTCCAGACATCCTAACATCAAATTCCCCAGGAAAAAGTTGATTCTCCCACCTGGAAACCGAAGTGTATTATCCCCAGGGCATTCTTCCCACCAGCATACGGTCACAGTCAAGACGCTGAAATAAGGACAAGTTTGAGTTCAGGAGGGGCCAGGGTTTTCGGGCTGCTCCTTAGATTCATATAATCGCTTCGCTCACTCCGCTGGCCCATCTTGCATCATTGGTGCTATATGTTTGTGTGTTCGTAGCGAGCGAAAAGGTGAAGGAGGAGGACGAGGAGGAGGAAGAGGGGGGGATGAGGATGAGGAGGAGGTCTCTGGAGAGCTTTTGGTGTCAAGTTGGGGCGAAACTGGTTATGGACACGGCGCCTCTTTGGGAGTCGCTTGGGGTCTTCTGGGAGGCCTCTCGGGGGCCTCTTGGCGGTGCGTTTCCGTTCGAGGACTGAGGGTCGTTGACGCAGAGGGGGGAGAAGGAGGAGACGGAAGAAAGAAGGAAGGGTTGGTGAAACGATAGGAGGCCTCTTTTTGGGCCTCGTGGCGTTATGTCTGACACCTCCTGGGGCGGTACGGGGGCCTCTTGGGGGCCTCTTGGGGGCCTCTTGGGGGTCTCTTTGGGCCTCTCGGGGGCCTCGTTGGGGCTTCTTGGGGTCCTCTTGTGGCCTCCAGGGGACCGCTACGCCTGGATTTCAATATGGCCGTTAACGTCCCTGGTCTTGGCCCGCTCTTGGAGCCGTCTTAGGAGCCTCTTCGGCCATCTTTGAGGCCTCTGGGGCTGTCTTGGGGCCTCTGGAGGCCTCTTGGGCAGTGTTGGGGCGATCTTGGAAGCCTCTTGGGCCGTCTTCGAACGCTGGGAAGCTCCTAGGGCGAGACCGCCAAGAACCTCCAAAAAATGAAGGGAAATCACTAATGTCTGCCTCTGTGGAGCCTCTTGGGAGGTCTCTCGAGGCCTCCTTGGGTCTCTTGGGGCCTCTCGGGGGCTCTTGGGGCCTCTCGGGGGCTTCGGTGGCCCGTGCTTCTCCATCGCCGCCCATCTAGCACTTCATTCATTTACGCTTTGCATCGGGCGTCGCCGGTTCGTAGGCCAGCACCCTACCCATCAGTTTGGCCAGGTCGTAGCTTCTCCTATGCTATTTTTCCTTCGGCTGGTCTGGCAGTTTTGCAGGCTGCTGTCTTTTATCTTCACTGTCTAAGATCCCTTCGATGATTCAGTGGCACCACTTAGCGCCAGACTGTTGCTGGCGCTTCAACTTGTACGAGTCGGTTCGTCCTTCGTTTCGTTGGCCGCTGCACTTTGGGTTTGCAGCGCCTCAGGTCTTTCACCACCTTTCTGCATGGCCGTGACTGGGTTTTACATTCTAGCGCGTTCGACCAAGTTCGTTCGCAATTGGCGCCTCCACCTGCCGACCGCGCCTGAGACTCCTCTACGCCGCTGACTTAAACTACGTGTGTGTTTGTGTGTGTGTGTGTTCGCGCTTCAGTTCGCTTTGAGTTGAGTGCTCTCCTCGTTTTCTGGCCGCTGCATGTGCTTTTGGATTTGCAGTTCCCCTAACCCATCCATCGCTTGCACGTTGCAGTGTGCGACGCTTGCACGCTGCGCTACCGACAACGCTCGGTCGTAATTGGTGCCTCCGTCTGCTGCTCGCGCCTGTAGGCCCTCCGCGCAGCTGAATTACAATTCGCGCGTGTGTGCGGGGGCGAGTTTGCACCTAAATTGCAGAAGCCGGGCTGGGCAACCAACGTGTGTTCTAACGCGACCCAGCGTGGCGAAGGCACGGCTGCGGATAGTGCAAGCACCTTGGGATGGATGCCCAACGCGAAAAGGTCGATTGCCAAGACCAGGGTGGTCAGGAGGAGGCTGAGGAGGCGGAGGAGGCGGAGGCGGAGGCGGAGGCGGAGGCGGAGGCGGAGGAGGAGGAGGAGGAGGAGGCGGAGGAGGAGGAGGAGGAGGAGGCGGAGGAGGAGGAGGAGGAGGAGGAGGAGGAGGCGGAGGCGGCGGAGCGGAGGCGGAGGCGGAGGCGGAGGCGGAGGCGGAGGCGGAGGCGGAGGAGGAGGCGAGAGGAGGAGGAGAGGAGGAGGAGGAGGAGGAGGAGGAGGCGGAGGCGGAGGCCGGAGGCGGAGGCGGAGGCGGAGGCGGAGGCGGAGGGAGGCGGAGGCGGAGGCGGAGGCGGAGGCGGAGGAGGAGGAGGAGGAGGAGGAGGAGGAGGAGGAGGAGGAGGAGGAGGAGGAGGAGGAGGAGGGGAGGAGGAGAAGGAGGAGGAGGAGGGAGGAGGAGGAGGAGGAGGAAGCGGAGGCGGAGGAGGCGGAGGAGGATGGGGGAGGAGGAGGAGGAGAAGGAGGAGGAGGAGGAGGAGGAGGAATAGTGATAAGAAGCAGGCTACGAATAATCAGAATGATAACAGTAATAATAAGAAGACGAACACGAATAATACTAATAATCATAATACTAATAAGACTAATAATAAGAATACCAAGAAGACGAGTAAGACACATACTAATACTAATAATCATACGAAGAAGAATAATACTAATACGAATAATACTGATACTAATAAGAATAGGAATAACAATACTACTCAGAAGCAGAAGAAGACGAATAAGAGGAGGAGGAGGAGGCGGAGGAGGAGGAGGAGGAGGAGGAGGGAGGAGGAGGCGGGGGGCGGAGGAGACGGTGGGAAGGGAGGATGGAGGGAGGAGGAGGAGAGGGGGGGAGGGATGGATGGATGGAGGGAGGAGGGAGGAGGGAGGGAAGGTAGGGAGGGAGGGAGGAGGGAGGGGAGAGGGAGGGAGGGAGGAATGTGGTGAGGGCGGGAGGGAGGGAGGAAGGGAGGAAGGGAGGGGAGGAGGGACGGAGAGAGGGCTGGAGGAAGAAGGAGGAGGCGGAGGCATGGAGGGAGGGAAGAGGGAGGAGACTGGAGGTGGGAGGGAGGAGGGTGGAGAGATGGAATCGGGAGGAGGGGGGAGGAGGAGGGGGGAGGAGGAGGCATGCGGAAGGGCCCTCCGCAGGCAGAGCCGCGAGCCTCGAGCCTCCGCAGCAGAGCCTCGAGACCTCGCGGGCCCCGGAGAGCCGAAGGACTACCGCCGCCGCCGTCCTTGGCGTCCCTGGGCGGGTGCCCACCACGCCGCCGCCTCGATGAGGAGGATGAAGACGAGGAGGAGGAGGAAGAGAAGGGTGCTGCTGCTGCTGCTGCGGCTGATGATGTTGTTGATGATGATGATGCTGATGATGATGATGATGATGATGATGATGATGCTGGTGATGATGATGAGGATGCTGATGCTGGTGATGATGATGCTCATGATGATGCTGCTGCTGCTGCTGATGATGATGAATATGATGAATATGATGATGATGATGATGATGACGATGATGATGATGATGATGATGATGATGAACATGATGATGATGCTGATGATGATGATGATGCTGATGATGATGATGACGACGATGATGAACATGATGATGATGATGATGATGATGATGATGATGATGATGATGCTGATGATGATTATGATGATGAGGAGGAGGAGGCGCAGGAGGAGGAGGATGAGGATGAGCAGGAAGAGAAGGAGGAGGAGGAGCACGAGCAAGAGCAGGAGCAGCAGGAGGAGGAGGTGGAGGAGGAGCAGGCGAAGGAGGTGGAGGAGGAGGGGGAGGGAGTAAGAGGAGGAGGAGGATGACGCGGAGGAGGAGGAGGAGGAGGAGTAATAACAATAATACGAAGCAGGGTAGTAATAAGAAGACGATGAGACGAATCATGATAATACGACGAAGAAGGCGACTTATCAGGCTAAGACGATTACTAACTATACTAACGCGACGACTAATCATACGACGAAGGGTAATAGTACTGATAACAATACGACTACTACCACGACTAATACGAATACGAATGCTACTACTAATACTACTGCAGATGCTACGATCAATAATAAGAGTACGAACGCTAATACTCATGCTCATACTACTAATACATGTAAGACGAAGAACACTACTAATACGAATGATAGTAAACTAACCAGACTACGAATAATACCAAAACTGCTAATACGAATACTACTAAGGGTGATATTACGCATCCTAGTACTAATACTAATAATAATGCGGCACATACTACGAATACGGCGAACAATACTACGACGACTAATACGAATATGAAGAAGACACATCCACATACTACTGCAACGAAGCAAACTACTACTATTCATACGAATTATGCGGATGATACTAATAATACGACGTAGAAGACTACGACGACGAATCATACTACTAACACGAATACTAAGAGGAACGCTGCTAACACGAAAAAGACGGGGAGGGTGCGGATGAGGAGGAGGAGGCGGAGGCGGAGGCGGAAGAGGCGGACCATACGGACGAGGAGGAGGAGGATGCGGATGAGGGGGAAGAGGATGGGGGGGAGGAGGAGGAGGAGGAGGAGGAGGAGGAGGAGGAGGAGGAGGAGGAG